ATATCCCACAAGCACATGAGCAGGAGTCGGAGCTCACAACACCACAGACTGACTTTTTGGATGTCACTCATGGCAGGGCTGGGTCGCCAATAGAACAGCCATAGAAGACGGCGAAATCGTGAGATGGAACAGGTCGCAGCAGAATGCCAAGGAATGAGGCCGACGCGGCCGTGTGAAGCGGTAGAAAGCAAAGAGAAGGAGGAACGAAGGAACGCAAAATCAAGCGGGAACAGCTGACGATTATGATGCAGCCCTTGAAGTGAAGAGTCAAAGGCTCACTTACTATCTGGTTGAGATTCTGGTTTGACATGGCACCGCCGGTGGCACCAGCATTGCCCCCTGGTGCTGGTGCTGGGCCAGCCGGTGAGGTTGCCGGCTGCGCAGCATAGTTGGCAGCTGGCGCGCCAGCCAGAGGTTGCCCGCTCATTACGGCCTAATCGAGGCAGTGTCGAACACAAGGATTCCAAACGGAGTATGAAAATGCCGATGTGAAGAATAACGAGATGGTGCGTGATGGGAAACCACGGAAACTGGATCTGTGATGAATGTCGTCGTCTGGTAGCAGGTGAGTCCCAGAAACGGTGGAAGCAATGCGGTCGGCAATGTTCGGGGTCGGCAGGCTTATGCACTCTCTCAACTCTTGCAACAAGCGTACGTGTGCCTCACCCTCGATGTGCAAGAGGGTGCTCCGGAATCGTGACGGCCACCCTCGATGTGTGTGGTTGCCGAGTGCTTCAATGAGTTGAGCTTCAACTTTATATTGCCCGAGCAGTTTGAGTTGGTCGCGTACAAGTTGGTTGAGAGCTAGACTTTGGTTTTGCCGGTGTTTAGACGAAGAGATAGGTACCTGGATACTTGCATGCATTCCTGTTTACGAAAAGTGCGAATATGAAGCCGCTAGATCATGCAAGTAAAACTCGTGTTTTAACGTCGATGATATAAAGCCTTTACTAATAAAGAAATCCAGAATTTTATTGAATACTCCTTTACATATTTTTGGTATTTCCAGGTGACGGCAGGCGCCTCTACTCGAGGGACCTAAGTACCGGGTACCTAACAAATTGATCCCCGGCCCCACTACTGTTGTGCCTGCGTAGACCCATGCAGGTCATACAGGTGGGAGATTCAAACTCAAATCACATCGCAAGTTCGCAACTCCATCTTCCACAGTTGTCTTTATCAACATTTAACCAGAAAAAGAACTTGAATTGTATCTTTCAAACAAGAGTCCATTTCATATACTTTTATTTGTCCCCCGAGCATCATCACTCGACAAAATTTGCGAAACGCCATCTCCACCAGAAACAAGGGTATAGCCTCTCTCTAAACAAAGGCATATAGGTTCTACCTATGAACAGCATGGCGTCACCAAACGATCTCATCATGAGCCAGGATGGCCAGTCACAACAAAGTCGGGTCTCGGAGCCATTCACCATTGAAGAGAACATTCACCAACTCAATGCCATCGACAAGTCAATCGCCCAACTCATGAGTCAAACCGCCACAGCTCTTAATGCCCTGACCACACAGGCATCAAACACCTCAGCACCCAACGGCGAGACCTCGTCCCTAGATCCGCCCGCTCAAAAAGAAGCGTTCAAGTCCGCCACTGACTCATTCCTCACAACACTCCATAGCATAGACGTGAGAATGAAGCGGCAGATCATGGCGCTAGAAGAAGCCGGGATCGTACGTCTGTCGAATACACCGCGTCAAGATCCCAATGGGGCCACCAAGGGATCGTTGAAGCCGAATGGCGTGGGGACGGTGGGAAACCTAGACGTTGGCTGGCTGAACAGTCGGAGCACGAGAGTAGAACGCGACATGGAGGCAGAGCTATGGCAGGATGCCAAAGAATTCTTGCAGAAGCAGCAGAATGGGACTGGATCATGACGACAACAGCTTGAATGAATGGAGTATTGTTGTTATGGGAAATATCACACGGCGATTAGCGACAGGCGTTTGGGGCTAATAATAGGAAACTGAATTCGGCGTTGATATGTTTTGCGAACCCAAACTTGATGTATTCCGAGCTCCCACGTCCTGTCCCTGCTTTATACCATCTCAAAGCTACAAAGCTCCAGATGCTCTGGGGGCTGCTTCCTCTGTTGCCTGGGCCTGAACCTCTCCGCCCTGCGTCTCTCCCGCCTGGTTGTCTAGTTGTGCTGAGGGTCTTGCTGCCATGCCATATCCACGCTCGTCGAGTTCCTTTCGTAAATGCAGGTATCTCATTCGCCAGTCGCACATTGAAATAGTGAGGCCTATACACGCCACGAAGAATGCGCCGCTGGAAATGGCGAGTGCTATCATGATGCCGTATCGCGCTTCGGGGGTGAGCTCCGGCTCACGAGTATAAATCTGATGGTCGGTCGCTGCGAGCGATGGCATGCCAAGCCTATTGATGATCCCAGAGCGATGGAATATATACATGATGCTCGATTTCTGGAGATGATGCACAATTCTTCTGACGCAACAATTGTGCCTGTTGATGAGCGCACTTGACAAGTATCTCTTTCTTGGTGAGGCGGCTGTCAACTTTGGGGAGATGCGAGACTTGAAGTTTGGCAAAAAGATTGTCAAGAAATATGAAATGGACACGAGGTTTGTTTGCCTGGATATGATAGCAAATTCAACTTCAAGTTGGACAGAAGACTTGGTGCGAGGGCTAGTTTGACGAGATTATAAGGCAATCAGATCACAATGGTCACTGGTGGCACTGAACACAATTCGTACGAATAATAGTGCACCGACTTTTCGTCTTCTCAATGAGCTGTGAGTTTCTCCATCGTTGGCTATGCATTGCATGACAAACTTTTTGGATTCACCGATGATGTGTAGTTCTAGCAGAGCCGACGCAGTCCGACAAGCTGTATGCATCGAGAAGAAGCGAGTCAAGTGTCAATCGCAACCAAACAAGGTTCTGGGTCCGCAACAACTGGAGATAATCTTCTTCTCCTATTTTTCGTTGAGGGAGGAAAATTTTAAGTCCAGGCTTGCAAACAGTCTGAGGACGCAATTTCATGGTCGGGAAGAGCACTTGAAGGATTTTCCGAGTTCAATGAAGCCATCCGGCGTTGCTGAAATGCACAAAATATTGTCGCTTTCCAAGTAGCCAGGAAACCCTCAATCTATATTGCGCATTGTGCAGGATATTAGGGCTATGCTGACGAACAGTGAGAATGGTGACGAGAGACGGCATTATACCGTATATAAGATGGGCCTGGTATATAGCCACTTGGAGATTATACAAAGGCGAAGAATTATTGCTTCCAAGGTTTGAAGAGGTTCTGTGGTACTTGAGATTGGGATGGTACGGAAGAAGCATTGTGCATATCCGGGAAAGCGAGATGGCCGATACAAGCAGGAGACGACATGGCCGTGGAGCTCAAGAACATTCTGCCTGTGGCAAGCATGCTTCTTTATTAGCTGTTTGACACGTGAATGCTGGTAAAGACGTGGCTGCCATGTGGTCATCCATGCGAGGCAATTGTCGGCCTACGATGGAGTGCGCGGATAGTAACAGGAAATAAGCAGGAGCGCTTGTGCCTCTGGTATCCCATAGCAGTCTGTGGCAGCGCCCTCGATTGCTGGAGCGGTGACTTTGTTTCGGTGTTGATTGTGGCGATGGTGGTGCACGCAGCTTGGTGTTGTGCAAGCCTTGACAGACACCTCTGATGTGAGATGAGTTGGCATCAGCCCAAAAGTTATGCTGGCAAGGCTATTGAGTCTTTGATACGGAGTACCAGGCAGTGCATGCTCCAGCTCCAACAGGGACCATGACTCCCTGGAATGGCCCTGGTCTATGTCCAGGTCAAATTTAATGTTCAATTTGATGTTAGTCGCTGAGGCCCGTCACTCACGTTGAGACGTCTCCCTCTCACTCTCCAGTCATCATTCTGTTTCGGAGTCCGCTTCAGCCGTCTTCAAGTTGATGCCTCGCGATTGCTGACGAGTACGTGACGGGACGCCAAAGCCTATTCATTTGGACTGTCGCACAGGATCAAATTAGGGGTCAACCAGACGGTACATGTATTTTGTTGCACCCATCCTGGTGCCATTGAGTGGTCAACCGATTGCATTGCTATTGACGCGGGAAGCCTGCGACGCCAACCCCGCCCGCAAGAGGCTACAGATCCGGCTTGGGATTTTTTTCCTCCGGGAAGCGATCGTTGCCCTTTCTTCCCGCTTTCTCTGCTTAATAAAACTAGCCGTCGACAAGTGCAGAGTATACGCGCATTGCAATGAGCTATCATGACCCAAGTCGATGCAAGGCGGCCTGCAAGATTCGTGTCGTTTGGGGAGGCAGGTCTGCGTCAAGTTCGATTCCTGTCTGGTGCCAGTGCTTGTTTTTTCCATGTCTCTATTTTTGTTTTGGGTCCTCCCTCCCTCCCTGAATTCTGCGCCCTATTACCAACCAGCGATTAGTTTTAAGTCTTGACATGGGCTGCGAAGGCGTAGCCAGCACCCCGTATTTTTTTTTGTCCTGTAGTAGTGACATGTACTCGCTTCCTGCGGACCAACCAGAGAGCTTGGATCTCTTTCCTCCTGTCCAACTTCCACTTGCCGTTCCTCGACCCTCCGCTTCCCCGTTGACTGATTGTTGAGTAAGAACACAACAAGTTGCGCGGGACATTCAGGTGTTCTGCCTGTACCCTGGCCACGAAACTTTACAACAGGCCATTTTTTCATTCGCCCCGTCGTCCCAACTCCTGACGGCTTCACGCCGCGACCGTCTCAGCTTCAACTCCACACGCCTCAGCGACGGACGCATTTCAGCTTGTCATCCGGAGGGTCCGGGCCCAGCAACTCGAAACGCGGCCATGGGCGACCCTTTGGCGAGAGGGACACTCTTGTCCTTCTTCCTCCTCATAACGACTTTGGGGAAAATGGCCGACGGACACGATCATGGCGACAGCCATATTCCCGAGGGACAGACTGTCTCCTTGGAACCGCTGGTTAGTACTCCATTATCGACGAGGAGGATGTGAGCCGACAGGAAAATGGATGAATATGAATCCGAGCGAGGTCTGACGCGTGTGCTACAGGATACGACATTATGGATTCACATCTTTATCAACATGTTTGCCTACGGTGTCATCTTCCCTATCGGGATGGTGCTGGGAGTAAGAAGCACTTTGTTCATGGACAATGTCTGTGACCGCCAACTTTGCTAACTCTGCGATTCAGATCACCAAGTCTCGATGGCACGTTCCTACACAAGTTCTCGGTTCAGCTCTCGCCCTTCTAGGTTTCTTCTTGGGCCATGCCCACGGCGGCCGAGAATTCGTCAGCCACAATATTCATTCCGTCTTTGCCAACATCCTGCAGCTCCTCTTGATCGGCCAGGTGGTTCTTGGTCTCTACTTGAAAGGCCACTGGGAGAAGGGCGTGAATGGCAAGATCAGAAAGCTGATCCGACCATGCCATTCAATTATCGGAAAGGCGATGCCTCTGTTGTCGTGGACACAGATGATTTTTGGCGGAATCACGGCTCTCGGGTTCTGCCAGGGCGAGCATGTTGGCCAGTGTGCCGCCCACTTTATCATGGGAGGCGCTTTTATCGCGTATGGTGTCATTTTGACCATTATACTTCTCGTTGGCCAGATCTGGATCCAGCGGACCGGACGATCGCAGGAATTCTTTGATAGCGCCGTCATTGCAGCCTGGGGCTGCGTCAACACCTTCACCGAACACCGCTGGGGGACCGCTTGGGTCAAGAACGACTGGCAGCACACAACCATGGGCATCATCTGGTGGTGCGCCGGCCTGGCGGGTATGTGGCTCAGCAGGGATCGAGATGGCAATCCAAAGCGCAACTTCATCCCCGGCTTCGTCATCCTGGTGACTGGCTGGGCCATGTCGGCACACCCTCAAGAGCTGATGGTTAGTGCCATGACACACAGCACATTCGGGAAAACCTTGATGGCCGCAGGACTCTCCCGAATTATCGAGATTTCTTTTGTTTTGAAGGATAAGCAATCTCTATCAGAGAGCGGACGCTCCTGGAACAGCTTCCAATACATTCCCGTCTTTGTACGTGTACCGCCTCGGTGTCGATTTCTAACAGTTCCTCTTGCTAACTGGCATTAGCTTTTGTACGCTGCCGGCTTCCTTTTTATGGGTGCCACCGAGGAGCAGATGAACCTCGTTGCTCAATCCAGCATGGACGGCGTCTCATATATCCTCATCATGTACTCGCTGGCCTTTCTCGTCTTCTTGTTTACCAACATGCTTGTCCACCTTTACGACCGCCTCGCCAACCCTGACATCAACACCAAGGACTTATCCAACGGCCACTCCCGTGCCAGTGGACATGCTGCCGAGGAGGGCCAGCTCCGGGATGCTGAGCAATTTGAACTAGACGGCCTCATGAGCGATGACGAGGGTGGGGAGGGTCAGGCTATGCTGAGAGCAAGCTTGGACCGTCCAAGCATAGACACCCCGAGCACTCTTGGCAAGAACAATCACGGACGGGTGTAGAGGTTAAAAATTTGAGACGAGGATAGAAGAATCGAGATTGGTCATTTCGCAGTCTCGAGTGTTTTGGGTATTCATGCAAGAGGCGTACTGGTGATGGGTAATTTTATATTTGGCTTCAAGCCTTTGGGTATTACTTAGTTTTAGGAGCATAGCAGTTTCCGAGTGTCTTCATCGTTACGAGTGTGGTCCGTCAAAGTATGCGATTTCTCATCTCCAAAGGAGTGGCGTCTAAGCTACGTATGTGTATGTTGTCGACGGCGGATGCAGTCGGCGCCACCACAGATGTGCGTTCTCTGGCTAGTGACCAAGTGGGGGATTGCCCATCCACATCCGCAACTTATACGGTGGGGCAGATTCTGCGGTGACCGAAAGTTGACGCAGAGAAAACATGCCACTTCGTTTTCCACCTTGCACACCATCATCAGAGCCGCAAGAAAGAGGCTCAAAATCCAACATGCCGTCCGTCAAGAACCCCAACGGCCCGTCCAAGAACCGGCTCGCCGCCCGCGCATCCGCCGCCAAAAAGGTCCGCAGAAAGCGCAGCGAATTGGCCCGGAACAAAATTTCAAAGCAGGACGTCGCCCGCGGCGCAAGACCCGGGATCCTGCCCACGAGCGGTCCGCGGGCGAAAGTGAGCGCCAAAAAGGCGAGGAAGCTGGAGAAGAAGATGGGGTATGCGCTAAAGAGGAGAATGGAGGCCGAGGGGGAGAAGCAGATGCTGGGTGAGCCTGAACTTGCGACTGAATTTCTTTTTGCGTCTTGGTCAAGGGCAGCACTGACGAGTCTTGTAGATGCGCCTGATGTGGATGCCGAGGTTGAGAAGCAGCTGAATGCGGAGAACGACATGGATATCCAGTGATGTGCGGATAATGGCCACGCTCTTTGCCCTTGAAGATTTTATGATGGGATGATGGGGAGAGGCGGGCGTGGCATTTGGTGTTTGGCATGACGATTATTGCGACACGGTATATGGTTAACGTGTGTTTTTTCTTCACGGTCACGGAAAGGCGTTGGGGATTGATAAAAGTTGAGAAATATTATACTGGTGACTGGTTCTTTTGGTTGTGCTGGCGACTTTGAAATGCATGCGAGTGGTGTTGAAGGGGGAGAGATGACGGAGCAGAGCAATGAGGTGGGATCCTATTGTCTGTTTGGATTCAGTCATGTCGTTGATTGTGCGAAAGTGGGTGCTAATGAATAGCAAGCAACTCCGTGACTGCCATTGCTTAATGCTATTGTTGCAACAGCTTGGTACATGTGCTCTTTTCACCACTTTGTCTTCTCTGATCTCTTCTCTTCTCTTTTTGTTCCTTTTCCCTCCTTCTCTCCCATTTTTCTCTTTTCTTCCTTTTTTTCTCTTTTCCCTCTTCCAGAGATGAAATCAGAACCAAAAAGAATCTCGATCCAAATGTTCTTGCGGGGGCACTTTGCACTTTCCTCAGCCCAGTTTCGTTTATTTCAAGTCACCCATTTTTACTTCAATAAGCTCTTGGGGAATGCATCATCCAAAATAAATGACTGGCCTGCGATGGGACACACCGGAGTCGCTACGAAGGAAGATGTGCTACCTGGCAATGGAAGCGCCCGGCGTGGCAGTGACCAAGCTTGTGTAACTGTTACACGAGCGGCAACTGGCAGCGGTACGGTTTAGTACTAAATATCGTACACGATTAAAACTAACATCGATTAAAACTAACAAGGCGCTTCAGCTTGCGACGACGCCCAACACCTAACGGCCAGAATCGAAGCTCTGTCCGAGTCGCTCCGCAACTCGTTGCCCGTGGGATTGGTTCCCTATAAATTGGCCGAGGCGCTTCGACACGACTCCAACCATCGTCTCCAACTAGCAAGAGAACAAGGCATTAAACTAGAGCATCTTTACATAGGCGCAGACTGTCTTCCTACCTGGAGCACTCTCTATTGGGACCCAGAAAACGAGTCCCTCCACCACACAATACAAATGCACCTCCTTCACCTTGACCTTGCTCAAAAGTTGGGAGAGCTTCTGCAGCGGCAGATTCGAGACAAGAGCAATCAAAGGTTGCGTCAGGCTCGGGCGCTGGGCATCAAACTTGAAAACATATTCATCGGCGAGTCCCTGCTGCCAGAGTGGACTGCCAATAAGGGCGGCAGTGACCGTGAAGAGGTCCCCTCTCCTGCAGTCGATGATACGCTGAGCGGCTCTACACGCGTTGGCGCTAGGCACGACAGCTTGGGTACTGTCGTTGGTTCTATTACCGACTTGTCCGGCACGGATGCTTGGCAGCATTCTGATTCTGAAGGCTCCGTCTCGTTTCCGGGCGTGGCACCGTGCAATGTCCACGACGGTGACGAGGACGACCAACACCCCGACGAAATATACATGAACAACCACGTGGATACACGGCCAATTTATGACGAATACGGAAATTCTAATATCGTTCACGACGTGGAGATTGTTGGTGGCCATGGTGAGCATGACACTGTCGACCTGGGAGTATATATGGCAGTGGACGATGAAGAAGTAGATGACCTGCCAGAGGTAGAATTGGCGATGGATAGGAAGGGCTTTGAACAACACTTTGGAGATGAAGATGCTGTTGATGTTTACATTCCAGACATGGAAATATTCTGTTTCGACAAGATTGAGGAATACGACGACGACGACGACGACATGCATGAACATGATGACAATCTGCAAGACACTTTGAGGTTAGAGCCATCTCGTTATATGGAACTAGATGATGATGACGGTCACGGTGAAGACGACGCAATCTCACAAGGAAATGCTATGGACATTTGCGAATCTGATGACAGTTCGTCCGATTCGGAGATGCTAAGTGAGGAGGAGTAGATTCTTTTCGGGCAGTTGCCCGGCTTACAGCATCATCTATATAGGCGAGGTTAACATTGTGCCCAGGTTGGGACAAAAGGATGGCTGTTGAGCCTGGGACCACCAACGAGATTTCACGGTGCTGGTTTCCGACTTGCGACACAGGCGCTTCGTGTACTTGGCTCGAGATCTGGGATGGATTCACGCTGGAAACTGGGTTACACGGGAGTTATGATGCCATGATATACAGAAATAATACAAAATTATCTCATCACAGTTGCCGCATAAAGGCCTCTCTGTGTCAGTATCCAGGCCATTCATGTCCGTGTGTCGCAAGACTCCGCCTGATTCGCAGGTAAGATGCAGAAACCGAAAGCACAGAATGTCCCATGTATTGCCTAGTCGTCGTGATAGTCTCCTGAATATCCGTGTATTTGGCATTCAGGCCATCGGCAGCCCTGGGACCAATGGAGTCCGGACCGGCAGAGTCATGGGCTTGTACATGTGCCGCTGGGCATGACTTGACACGCCTAGATACATAAATAGGACCAAACACCTTCAATTTTGTTCTTTTGACAAACTCTATTCGCGACGGCGTTTCTCACGGTGACAGACGAGGTCTAACAAAGGGACCATACACGCCGCTAGGTCGCGATTTAACCCATTTCGTTCTACGTATCTTGGATGGCGGCATCAAGACGCTTAAATTCAAGGCTAAAGCCAAACTGGAAGGATGTACACATGCACAGCTATATTCTGCTAGTAGATACAACACAGTGCACTTGTAGGCGGTGCCGGAAACCGCTTCCATTCGAAATCCAGCGCGGGACATGGTCATCGACAGGTTTGCCATTGGGCACGGGAGGCTACACTATTTCACAAAGCGGGCTCAACGAGGAAAAAAAAAGAGGGTGTAGCATCGATAGTCTACACAATATGGACCGCTGTCTAGTAGCTGGTTTTTGAGTTTTGCCCAAGTTGGCGCTTGTCCAGAAGCCAGGAGTGCATCGTCGTGAAGCCACGCCGTCGTGTAAGCCGACGCGGTTCTGCCCATTTCTTCACGCGCAGAGGAATGCTCAGCCAACCACTCTCTTTCTCTGTTGCAACACCCCCAAAAAATCTCAAAATGGTCGTCATATCCAAGTTCACGGGCTGCTGGGCCCTCTGGGCTCTGGCTTCGCTCGGTCGGCTCACTCCTGTCGCCGGCTATCTATCGCAAGATGCCGCCAGTGTTTCCGTGTCCAACACAACCAACCTCACACGCGGGGGTTACGTTCCCGACATAGTCCCAAAGCCATTCTACGCCATTGCCAACAGAGTACTCACCAAGCAAGGTGCCTTCGATGCTCTGCAAATGGGGGCCAACGCCCTATACATCCCCGTCTGGGGATGGATACACACCGGATGGTGGGCCGACTATGATGGCAGAGGCCGCTCCGCAGGGGATAAAGTCGAGAATCTATTCAAAGAGATTGTCAAGTTTCGCATCGAGGGCAGAAACATCTGCCTCGTCTGGCTGGACCTTCGGAGCCCGGACTGGTGCACGCCGCACTACCCTCGCTGCATATTCGACAGGCTGATCGGTTTCTCTCGCAATATTCTTCAGAGCCAAGGCATCTACGTTCTCTACGGGTTCCACCTCGAGAGCGTCAATGGGAGTGCCTATGCGTCCCTCCAGGACGACCTCAACGACATGGAGGCCATCTCTCTCGAGGGTGAGCTGGCAGAGGTAAATGCTTCCTTTTGGAAATACGGACCCTCGGCACCCGACAGTCGGGTCATGTCGTACGGATATTTCAACTTGGCGACGCCGCGCTTCGGCCACTGCAACGAGGAGAGGTTCTATGTTTGCTCGGAGCTCAAACGGGGCGCCAAGAGCAGGGACGATGTTGGCAAAACATACGCCTGGACCGTGTCGGGTGATCAGTCCGTGTACGTCGACAGGCTGATGGATGCTGGTGTCGATGGCCTTGTTTTCGGCTTCAGAACCATCGACTTTGACGAGCACGACGCGCCGTTTTTCGCCTTTAGGAATATCATTGACTGGATCGACAGTCATCCGTACCGGTATTTGGCCAACATTTACGATAAGCCGTGGGATCGACGTCTAAATAATGAGTCGGATAATAAGTAAATAACAGGCATATGGCTATATTGCATTTCAGGACGTTATCAAGCCGAGTTTGTTGCTTCAACGTGCTCCTGCTCTGTGGCGGATACAGTCTCCAGAGTAAAGTGTGTCTACCCCATGATGGCTTTTACGTCGACATACTAGACTGCCGTGTTGTATTCGGGGGGGCATGTGCTTGTGATTCAATAAAATTATTTTACTCCTTCCCAAGTATCGCTGGCAAACTTGGTGCGTTGTTGAATCGAATCGACCTCCATCGCCCTCGTACAAGGAAATAGCAAAATGACGGACCTGGTATAAGCCGTTGTAGTCTCTTCGAGAACAAGAAACTTACGCGGAACGCTCCACAAGCCGCTCGTCAGGAAGCATGATGGCCCTGTCCAAACCATACGGCATCCCCCGATGTCGGCCACGAAGCATCATAGCACACATGACGACCTTTCCAAACGTAGTAAACTTTGTCGACAAGGCCGAAGTAATGTCTGGGTAGCCTAAGGTTAAGCCAACACCGCCGCTGGGGAACAAATCAGCCTCAGTAAACTTTGGTCGAGACAGAGTCGCCATGTCAATAAGAAAAGAACTTACTATGCCGAAACCACTTCAAAGAATATGGCAAAGAATGAAAAAGCCTCATTGCGGTCAGCAACTTGCCCCCTAACTTGACGATGGAAATGTCCCCAAAAATAGACAAAAGAGAAAAAAAAACATACCGGCTGATTGGGATCTGCAAGTTTAGTCGCCTCGGAAACACTCAAGCAAAACAACCCCAAAAAGATGTACCACAGATCAAAACCCAGCTGCTTCTGCATATGTTGGAATAAATACGACGCCCCTCTGTCTTCGTTGTACGTCGGGTCCTGCGCATAATACCCAAGCGACTTCTCTTCGTATATGTTGGAGGAGCGAATGCTCATGGCGATGGGGAATGCGGAAATATACATCATGACCAGGAGAGTGAATTGCGCACCGGGACTTAGATTCGACAGAGTAAATGAAGCTGCGCCGGTGTGTCGCGCCGCGGCGGATTGGAAGAAGGCCGCTGCCACTCGCTGGGCCGGCGTCAAGTGTGTGAATTCCGGGTTATGCAGATCCAGCACGAGGAGGATAAGAGTGCCGAGGAAGTTGAGGCCGATAATGATGCCGAACAACGCCCATGTGGTTCCACCGGGAAACAGGAGCGCGTAGCAACGGCGAGGGTGAGTGAGCAAGAACTGAAGAGGTTCCTGGATCGAGGAGCCTCGAGGCGTAATTTTGGACATGGTCCATAAGATGGATCGTAGGAAGACCGGGTACAGCGTGTTGCCGGCAAACGTGAGAAGACTGAGCCAGAACATTACCCATGGTGAGTCTTGAAAAAAGACCATTGAATCGGGCGTGAGGGTGAATCCGAGATTGCAAATGGCAGTTTGAGACGTGTAAAAGGCCCTGCGTGGTGTTGGTCACACAGTCACATAGCTCGGTTTCCATGTGGATTTTCTACATACCACCATATTTTGTCCTGGGCGAATTCGTCAAGGTGCGCGGCATACTTGGAGTCGGCATGCAGAATCCAGCCCACCAGGCCGATGGCTCCAATTAGATGGACGCCGAAGTAATAGGCTGGGATTTGGCACCATCGGTCAGTTGACGAACAAAGCAGGCTCTTCCACAGAGCAACGACACCTACCGACAACTACCTTGAGCAAAAGTTTAAGACTCCTGTACTCGATACCCCCCAGCTCGTTGCGATCTTGCCTGGTCAAGTTATAAAATCGCGAGTTCCGTCCAATGCTTGCGCCAGTGGACAAGTATGGCATGTCGTCGGATGCTCGACGACGCCTGGTGAGCTCTCTGGAGATTGAAGAAGGCGGCGGCTCGCTGCCAATAACAAACAGGGACGATGCGAGAGCGGCGGCCCGGTCTATAGATCTTGATTCGCGAAGGGGGCCCAGGGTCTGAAGGCGATATTGCCCGTTGTCGTCTTCTCCATACCTTGTGATTTCTGCGCCATGGTAAGTAACGTCGTCGTGCCAAGGGCGGACTCAATTACGTCCTACATGCCTTCTTTGCTTTTCAGTCTCGGACCAGTCAGCTCCACCAAAGGGTGTCCTGTCAGCAAAGTCAGATGGTTGCCATCTTGCAGCATCGTGTCAGGGAGGGTCATGTATCGTTACCGAGATCTCTGTCTCGTGGACCAGGGACGTATAATACGGAATCGCTTCTGGGATGCCTGAGTTTGTCCGCTGACGAGTCGAAAGAGATGTGCGGTGCACTTGCATCGATCGCCTCTTCCACAAACGAAGAGTAAGATACTCTGGCCTCACTCTCCAAGTCCTGACAGGGCCCCCTGATAGCACCGTTGTTGTCGGCAGCCAGTTGAACACCATCTTTTTCACATACTTTGCCAGAGGCTCTGGTTTCTGCTACCCCAGATGTGTCTGGTGGAGATGCCTTGGGTTCTCCGTATTCCAAGCGAGAGTCCTCCTGAGAGTCTGTGCCTCCTCTTCTACGGGCATGAAGGAGAGCAGGGCCTTTGAAAACATGGCGTCGGCACTGCTGTAAGTCACCATGCATCTCGGTTGGTATGGGAGGTCTTACCAAAGCTGTTAAGGTGTTTGTTGAACCAGTAGAGCCGCACAACGACCACCAAGATGTTCACAAAACCCATCTGCGTGAATACAGTCGCAAAGTACAGGTATAATTGTTGATATAGCTTCAGCTCATTCAGATTGGCACTATGGACAGGCGCGAATGGTTAAACCTGGTCGGCCACGGAACCGGTCCCTCACAAAATCGAAATACGATTTGGGAGCTCTCGCGAGGACGTACACGTTGAGCCCAGACTCAGTCGATGCACTTGAACCCATAAAGTAGGCATCGATGGCAGATATGTTCCCGTACAAGTACAGGAATGGTATGGACAACAGTCCCATAACAAAGATGTAGGCATCTGCGACCAGTTAGCCATGTTTAATAATTTGACTAACCAAGGATGTTTTCTAAATAAGTCCCTATTCGAAGACGGTTGGAATCGGAATATGAAGAGGGACTGCCAACGTACAATGTAAAGTAATAAAGTTTAGGGACGGCCACCGCATAGTAAAAACAACCCTCGGGTTTCGCAGTGTGATGATAAGTGGAAATAAGGTAGGCAATAGTGACACAAATCAACAAGCAGCAGTGATGGTACTGATCTTTTAAACGATAAGGAAGGGTAGCACGAACGGGGCAAGTAGTTCAGAGATATCAAAACATCGGTTGCCACACTTATATGCAGCCCGTATCTCTCCGCGGAGTCGACTTGCTTGTCCTCATGGACTGACCAAAACAAGTTTTTTACCCGTGTCTTCACTTCAGATCCCTCCACAGCCTCTCACTTGCTTGTCTGGTTCAAAGCCGCATACCTACTAGAACATCTCATGCAAGGCATGCACACTGACGGCCCAGTATCGCGTTCAACCAAGACACGATGGCAAACAAGAGGGTTGCACCCAGTCGGCTTCGTAATTCCGGGGGACAGAAAAGTCCGCTGTCATGGTGATCGCTATAAATGAGCATTTGCCGCGATATACACAGTCATTGTACGAGCGGAACATATCTCATTTCGACCCATCAGATACCCGGTTTTATATACCAACATGGAAATGGAGCCCCGGAGATGTGTTTGTGCATATTCAAGACATGCAGCACGAAGAAAACGAATAAGCAAACAACCCGATTCCGAGGACGAGAGTCCCATGTATATTTGCGGCACACAGCATGGCAGCAGGTCTGGTGACACGTCGAGGAGGTCCGGGCTGTTCGTGCTTGGACCACGACCAAGAGTATCGTGCAGTGTAACTGTTGTTTCCCAAGATCTGTTTCCTCATCAGTCAAACTCTCTCATCTTTCGTGACTCGAAACTCATATTGCCCGGTCAACCTCAAACGAGTCAGCATGATCAGACGCTCCTCTGCCGTTTGTTAGGCCATAGAAGCTCACCAAAGCTGTGGAGATGGATTTAAGATCGGTTTTACCAGAGTAGCATACAATCCCAAGTTGACATGCTGTGCCGAGACTTGTTCCTTTGCGTCAGCCGAGTGTTCGAATTCGCCGTATCAAAAAGTGAGATCGGTGTCTCGGGCCGCAGAAGCCCTACATAAATTGGCGGCTCGATAATACACTCCCCGCGATTTATCTTCTTCCTTGCATCACAACCATCTCGTTGTTGCAGAAGCAGGGTTTTATTTTGAGAGTAGAAGCATGATAGAGCAGAATGAACACTGCCCGCAGCAGCAAAGACGCGGGAATACAAGGATCAGCGGCACGCGGCCTGATCTTGTAGTAATCCGCCCGCAGCCTTGTGCCGCGAGACATAACTTGCATACATCTCCAAGTAAAAGAGAAAGTCTCAGCTGTCTCCCCAGCAGTGTTTGAGACAATATCGACTCATATCAGTTGTTAACATGGCGGCAACTCCACAAGGTTGTTTCTACTTGATGGAAGTGCCGTAGTGGGAGCACCAAGTACAGGCAAAGCTTGGTAATAGCACAGTTTCCACCTGATGTGCCATGTTGATTTGGAAGACCATTCCGTGCGTTTGCATCGACTTCATCCGCCAGTCAACTCGGCAGGGACCCGTGACAGTCACAAGCAAGATGCCGCCCGTGTTATCAAGCCTCATCAGCTTAGCCCTATGATGCTTGCTTGAACTCATGTACGAGATATGATACGTCAGAAAAGAACGAGATGGTGTGTGAATTGACGCCTCATCATCGGCTAAAAGGGGGGAGGATTCTTTAGCAGCATGGCTATATTGATCCACTCACCTGCAGAATATGTTGAATCGAGTCTCTTCAATCTTCAATCGGCAAGTGCCCAATCAAACGACCAGAGCAACAGACATGACTTGCTGCTCGGCGTGTAGGGAAATTATCGTGCCCAGCAAGTTCTCTGCCGCTCGATGGCTTTGCTGGCACCAACGGAGACGGGAGCCCCAGCGAATCTCGACCGCCCACACTCAACAAAGCCAGGCTGGTAACACTGGTTTTGCCACGGCCGTTAGAGAAAAGCGATCCAGGTCTCCATCTCAGAAACGGCCTGTCAAACCGTGGGGTCCGGTGTACCGTGTAACAAACTACCCGGGGTTCGGGATGCTTCTGTCTTTGAATCTTAATCCGCCTAGACAAGCAGGTGACTTCACCAGTAAACGCAGTGAAACCCACAAAAGACGCCGAAAGTCTCTCCGTACAGCATCGTGACTGGCGGCAAGCGACGGGCCAAACTCATTGACCTACTTCATACCGGCGAGCCAATGCCACCTAGATCTGCCTGCAGCCCCCCTCCCCCTTTCTGTCCCCCGGAGACGTAAACGGCCCAACGGCCCAGCGTAGTCCTGATGTGACGAGCTGGCATGTGGAGAAGACAGAGTCGGCTCATTATCTGCCCATCTGATGGGTGGGCGCAAATTGTAGCATCCGGGGGAAGCAGCTCATCGAGAGGTCACACCAGCGCACCCGTTCCCTCCGGAAATTTTGAAAGTAAAAGACTGCATTCGGTGACGCAATAACGCCGGCAGAAGACAGAAGCAGCCGGCGAAGGGGGCAGGCCGCCTGTCCACGACATGAAGAGGGAAGAGAATCGGGTTTCGAGTCGACTGGGAGCGACCCCTCTCTCCCCCAACAGACTGAAGCTTAGGAGGAAACCGAGGCATGCATCCGGCACGCAATTTCTAGTGATTCGCTTCGAAGCTGTCGAGAACGATACAGGAGACAGCGTGGCAAGTTGTTCAATGCCCACGCGGGATACGAAGTACTCGTAGTCATGTTAGGTCCGAGAATTCGAGTGACGCTGTGCCATTCGAAAAGCGAGCGCCTGCCGTGGCACATGGGCTAGGATTGGCAAAACGCCCAGTGCCGCCACATGGCAAGAACGACAAGACATTGCTGCAAGACATCTATAATGCCCTAGATAGATTAAGCTAGTGAGAAAATAAAACGGGGGGCATGTAATGTAATTGTTATGCATTATCATTATTTAGCATGATACCAATAAATTAAAATTACAACCCTAACCCTACCTACAACATTGCACAGCAATAGACTGCCTACCTAGGTAGCTAGCTTGACTCAGATAACTCCATGATCCAGACAGAGGGCTAGTAAGACCTACAAATCGTGCCACAACAACATGGATCAAGTCCCGCTGGAAGTGATACAATATATAGAGATATGTAAATATATAGATATCCCGTCTATCAATAGTAGTACAACTCGTGCCTTTTTTTATCTTTCCTTGGACGGGCGGGCCCCATGCCTCTGAGGCTCTCCCGTTCCATCCACCCCAAGCATGTAAGCTCATCTAGCAACAGCCAACCGACCGCTCATGAAAAACTTGGCCGCATTTGTTGCTGCCTAGGTGGTCAAGCATAAACACAGAAGAAAGCAAAAACATTTAGCAATTGTTCCACGCGCCCTGCACTCCTTGTCGTCCCAGTTGTTCCCCTTTGATCTGTTGATACAACGGCAGGCACCTGTAATATAGCACGGTCGTCCAAATAAAATGAAAATTTCGAGGCGGCATAAAGAGTGCATTATCCCCTTATTTATGCATCAACCATGCCGTCTGCGATGGCTAGGCGTTGTTTGGCCGTCTTGGCTCGTTTCCCAGCCGCCTTCCCACGTCCTCTCTTGCCCTTCGTATCGCTTTCGGCAGGGGTTGCTGTGCCAGAGGCTCCAGCTCTGCTTCCGTCGTCAAAATGTCCCTCGCCTGTGCCGTGGTTAGTATTAAGTTGTCATTAGACACATATACATATACAACCAACGACGCAGAGCAGTCTTACCTTCATGATACATGTCATCCAAGCTGGCGGGAGCTTCCGCCTTCTTGCGCTTTCCGCCTCTCCTCTTCTGTTTGTCATACTCTCCGGACTCCAAGAGCTCCTTCTCACGTCGTTCAATCATTTCAGCCTGCTCGTCATCGGCCAGCCACATGGCAATATCACGGTTGCGGTTCTCAGGTGCACGACGACCAGAGAAGTCAACGCTGGCACCACCTCCTTGGATAACGACACGTTGAACTTCCTCCTTTTGAAGAGCTCTCTTACGGATTCTCTCTTCAATAGTACCGCGGGTAATGAGGCGATAAACAGTAACTTGCTTCGTCTGACCTAGTCTGTGGGCACGGTCCATGGCTTGCGAGTCAATTGTAGGGTTCCAATCCGAGTCGTAAAAGATGACAGTATCGGCAGAAGTAAGATTGATTCCCAAACCACCCGCACGTGTAGACAGCAAGAAGATGAAGATTTCGGGTCGGGTCTGGAAGTCGTGGACAGTGTCACGTCGATCCTCCAGTTTGGTAGAGCCGTCGAGACGGCAATACTTGTAGTTGCGGTAGGTGAGATACTCCTCCATCATATCAATCATGCGAGTCATCTGAAAGTACAGCAGGACTCGGTGACCTTCATTCTTGAGTTTGAACAACAACTCATCCAGCTTAGCAAGCTTGCCACTGTCGGTAACAAATTTGCGCATAGAGGGGACCACGAATTCGGTGAAGCGCTTTCTCTCGCTGTCGGGCTTGGGGAGGAGGCTACGCGAAGGGTATAGCTCGAGAGGCACCTTTTGTTCAACAAGTGACTTCTCCTCCGCGATATTAGGACCGTAGAGAGCCCTACGAATGGCGGGGTTGAACATCATGTCCTGGCGTTCTCTGACCGCGCTCATGCTGTTGCATGAAACCTCCACTGGGGGGGCCGAAGCACGAGATCGACCAGCAATCTCCAGTCTGCTCAGACCAGAGTCGTTGTAACTGCCGCGAGCAACATTCATAAGATTGTCGAGGATGCCTTCGGTAGTAATCTCAGCAAGAGGACGGCGATTTTCTCTGGCGCAAATGTTGAACAATGCGTGCGCAGGAGTGAATGTCTTGTCCTCTCCTTCCTCGTCATAGACGATTGACATTTGGCCAATTCTATCGCTCTTTTGCAACTCATTGACTGCCCGAGTAAAGAGGCTGTCATGCGCAGCCCTGTAAACGTCCCTAGCAGAGACGTCTGCAAAACGAAGCCAAGAGAACGCCTTTGACTCTTGCACGTTCTCGCGCACATGGTCAGGGGACC